AAGAGATTTTTCCTACGCATTTTGAGTATTTTAATGACTGTGAAGGGTTTTTAGTGGATTTGCTTCTCTACCGTAAAATAGCAGACGCTGCTCGGTCCCTGTCTTCGTAATCAAATGTCTAACGTTATGCTATCAGTATTTTTCTAAATTCCTTCAAAATCCCTTCCACTTGTTTTTAAGCTCCTCTACTGAGAACTTCTTTAGTACGCTGTTGGATTCAACGATATGGGAGTGTCTGTGGTTAACGACTCTCCTGAGGATATCAACGATGCAAGATTAATTGTTGATATGCTAGCTTGGGGTAATGGGTTTGATCCTATCTACAGTGACGAGAAAATGGTCGCGGTCGAGCCAATGTCATCCATAGAAGTGAAATTCCCAGAGTAAGTGTGGGTTGTACGTTCTGTCCTATATTTGGATTCAAAAAGTTTTTTTTTTCAGGATGCTGAGGACCAGCGATGCTGACTTTATAATACGGGCACGACTTTTGAATAGCTCTGGTAATTCCATAGCTCCAGAGACGATACTTCTTCCTGAAAGGCTTTACGAGGTAAGCTGCCATGTGTCCAGATGGGCTAAAATTCGCAGTAATTATAGTAGACCATAGAGTGGACTTCTGCGGTGTTGACAATATTTGCGCGTAATTGGATTTCCATGTGCGAGAAATGGCGCTCCGTGGCCGTTTTGCACGCGCAAATGATGTCGACACATATCGGCACGGCAATCGCACTAGATTTACTATCAGTCTAGGCTTATAAAATCCTGTCAATCTAAACAAAATCAAAACATATAATGGTTACTCAAAAATTATAGTGGTCAATGCGAACACGTAACAGTATCCGGAAAATCGATATATTGATTGGGGGTGCGAATTTTGGGTTACTAATTGACAGCTTAGCAACTGAGAAAATCGATATATCGGTTGCAGGCTGCTGAATTTGAACTACAGTATGTAGCTGTGGCAGACGTAAAGTCATCTAAAAATTGAAAAATCTGATGTTCGTTGAGCATCGTTCCCAAAATATCGAAATCGCTAGAATGAATTTTTTGATCAAAAATACACGGGCTTTCTGAGTCCACTTTTTTCTAGAGGGGTTTTCACTCTGGAAAACTTCTTTTAAAAAATCTTATGCGAGGTATGCAGTTGTACAAATCCATAAATACAGTGCGGTTCATAATTATACGAACACCCCAATTTTT